CCCTAGAGCGCCCTAACGCCCCGAACCTCCGTACCTTTCCCCAAACAGCCTACCTTGACCCGAAGCCTTATGCCCCGCCCCCCAAGGCCCTAAACTCACATCAGGTCGGTGTCCCAGTCCCTAAATCCCCATGCCCCAAACCCCGAAAGCCTCAAACCCTAAACGCCTTAAACCTTTTCAACCTAAACCCTAGTCTGCTCGGCCCTAAACTCCTGAAGCCATCAATCCCTCAACTCCGAAAACCCTCCGTTGGCCTACCTGAGGTGGTTCTTGTTAAGGGTTTTGTTTTTAAGTTACTACAACGAGACAAACCGTAGTACATCCTAGGATATACCGACTACGGTAACTAAAACTCACCCCTAAACCCTAAACCCCCAATCCCTATGCTCCTATGAGGTGGTGCAGCTTCCAGAAGGATTCGCCATCCAGGCCCGAAGCCCCCAAGTGTCAACTCTGGGGGTTCCTTGAAATGTTCTACAGGCGTTCCCTTAAGGATTACTTTGTAAGGGTTGTTTTTTGTGAAATTAGGGTTCCTTTAATGGTTATTTCACGGTTCTGTCAGGTTTGAGGGTTTGAAGGCAGGGCTGAGGGTTAGGATTTGGCTATTTCAATATGGGGTTGCGGGTTTTTGGTTTAGGTGTGCGGTTGCAGGCTTAGGGTTCAGCGTTAAGTCATTCACAGTTTAGAGTTTTGGGAAAGCTCCCACAAGCCCCATAGAGCCCGAAGCCAACGCGAGAGGCAGCTTTGCATTCTCGCTGATCCAACATAGCCCGAGCATGTAACCCAAGAAGTCCTCAACCTCCAAGACCACATAGGGTCCTGGGACACAGCCCCTGACACAGCCCCTCACATGAAGCCTCCGGTCGCACAGGAAGATTCTGCCGGAACGCCGCAGGCTTAGCAACCGAAGGAGTCAAGCCGTTCTTCTGATTCCAAGATGATGGGCATTGGAGGGACCTACCAGGATCCCCACCAAACGCATCCATAATAGAGCCCGGATGGCCCTTAACTGTGGGTATTAATGGTGTCATAGAGCGTAGTTGGGGAGTCTATAGGTAGAGGCTTGCGCTTAAATAGTGCGAGTCACGCTTTCGGCATAGCTTTTGCTTCTCGGTGCTGATGGTCGTTTTCGACATGCCTGAAGCAAAAGATCGAACTCGGCCTTTACCGAAAGCACCGCCAAACTGCTAAACCCTGCGTTTTGCTGAGTCTGCAAACCACAGAAACAGTTTAGCATTTCTCCAAAACCCTCCAAATTGTCAAAAAATCCATCCCCCTGAAGCCTCTTAAACACATACACACCCACACAAAGCCATCTCCGAACCCTAACAACAAGAACACACCCAACCCTAAGCCCTAACATCAAGAACACACACACACACGCAATTGAGGTCCCCTTGGTGCCTCCTGGACACGGGCAACTTTTTCAGTCCTGGAGTAGCCGCTCGACGCAAACCTCAAAAACTTGTGTTGTAATTTCGAGCAGGGATTGAGGGTTTATGGGGTTTAGTTCAGGAATTTCGGGTTTACAGGGCTTAAAGTTAGGGTCTAGGGCTTCAGGTTCTTGCAGCCTTAGAGGTTTACCGCTTAAGCTCTAAATCCCTCATTCCAAAGCCGCAGTGCGCCCGCCGAGGCTGAAACCCTGAGCTATTGAACGATATTTAGAGAGTCCGGTTTAGGGTTTAGGAAGCCTTTAATTCTAGGTTTAGGGTGCAAGAACTTTCAAGCATAGTTACCGCTTTTTGCGTCCCATATGCTCGTGTATACGTCAACATCAAACTTGGTCCATGCAAGAGATCCTTGTTGCTGGAGACTGGGTTCCTCGTCGTGACAAGGGAGTGCAAGATTGGAAAGCATCTTTTTTTCCTTCCTCCGTGATAGGGATCCAGAAAACCTCTACATATTATTAAAATTTCCAAATCCTAGAGTGCTATGCCATACACCTCTAAACCCCTGAAACAAAAGACCCTAAGCCCTAAACCTGGACCTTCAATTAAGCATGAGTTTCATGTCGGACTGGATGGTATGGGTTGAATGTCCAGTTTCAGCGTTCGTGGCTGCAAGCACACATGCTCAACTATACGGTGAAAGTGCCGCGCATGCTGGCTGGCAAGGTGGGCGGCACCCCCCGCTCTGCCTTCGCGACCGGCTTCAGCCGGTGACAACCCCGGAATCGATTCAGGTCCGGAGGGTGGCAGCAAGCTTGGAGAAACAAGCAAAGGAGGAGACCTCTGCATCCAGTTCGAACCGTGGGCACAAGCGCAAGAGCGAGGAGCCCTGCACTCCTCCCCGACATCATCAGCCGGAGGCTGGAGGCCCAGACCGAGGAGCCTTCACTTCTTTGCAGGAGCCGCAAGCGCATGCAAGCAGTCCCCTCCTTGGTCCTTCTCCGTTGCCGCTCATGAACCCGGATTGTCCATATGCAGTGAGGCAGGCTTCAAAGCGGCGGAGTCTGCGGATTTATGCCCGGCAGTAGCGACCGTCCGGAGCCGCACACTCCATAGACCCTGAAGGCCCTGAAACATGGCCATACTCGCAATATTTGTAGCCTATGTATTTACGAACACTATTCCCAAAGGTCTTTCGGTACGCTTCAACCACAATTTTCCCCGCAAGCCCTGTTCTTATCGTTAAGGTCCCCATATCATCTTTGCTACATCGGATGGAGCTTCGAGGACAGGAATATTGAAACACATAGGATGTTATACTCCAACCCCCTGCCCCAAAAGCTCTCTAGTATGATGTTATACCCCAAATCCTTACCCAACAACACCCAATTATTCAGCCTCCTATATCAGCAGACCCCACGTGGCAGGATGATTCGGGATTCTCAGTGAAACCTCTGCCGGCTTCTTCTCGCTGGGCACCCAGGGTCAGAAGCGTTTCGGGCTTAGGGCAGACATTCTCACCCAGGTCCTATAAACCCAGAACCCTAAACCCTAAACCCAGAAGGGATGGTTTAGGGCTTCAGGTTTAGCGCAGACATTCTCACCCAGGTACCGAAGACCCTGGGACTTTAGTAGCTTAGAGGTTTAGGGGTTGATCGTTTGGGGGTTTTGGTTTTACGTGGGCCCTATAAAACGTACCTTTTCAGGGATCTCAAGACCCTACAAATGCAATATAGAACCTGGAAGGATATAGTTGGTACTACCCCTGTAGGCTCCTCTTTGTATTTTTACTATATACTATATGCTAAAGCAAAAGCACTACTCTAATTTAACTTTCAAGGCCTTGACTGTTGACACGAAGTGCGGTATCCATCCTCTCCGATGCACAGAGGTTGCACTTGGCAGTCCTCCTTTGTCACGGTGGAGCTGCTGCGCCCTCGGATTTGTCACAAGTCGGCCTGTTTGTTTTTAGAGCTGGTTACGGGCTTAGAGATCAAGGATTGGGGTTAGATTTCAGGGATTGGGTTCTGGGTTTGAGGCCCGGAGTATTGCAACAGCGTGCTGTGGCTCTATGAACCCTCAGCCCTACACAACTTTCTGGCCTTGTGCATGTTGAGGCAGGAGGCCTTGGATGTGGACATCGCCTACCGATTTTTGTTGCGGTGGCCCGTCAGCATGTTGAGACAGGCGCATTCCCGCGGTGACTAGATTCATTTCCGCGGTCGCTACATGCAACTGTTTGGTCCGAGACTTCCAGCCAGAACCTAGTCTAGCGAAAGCATCTTTAATCGTCAGGCTAGGGGTTGTTTGGTGCTATAGGAAGGCATACCTACATAGTAACTACCAGTACAAAGGGATGTGCAGCGACCAAATTCTTCAATCATGTGGAATGCCCCTGCGTTTCCTACTTGAAGGGTGGGGGGACGTACTAAGTACGATACTCACTTTCTAGAGAGTTATAAACACCATGATCCGAATGAGGATCCGTTTTGAGGTACTTTGAACTTACTAGAAGTAGTTATTTTCCAGAGTTCTGAGAACCATAACCGCAAGTAGCATCCTCTTTAAGGAGCTTAAAAAGGCTTAAAACTTTACTTCCTAAGCCCCTAGAAGTAAGTAGAATAATCGCCCAACACCTACAAAAGGCTATTGTTGCACATACTGTGGGGGTCCAGGTTATTACCTACTTAACAAGTTGGCCGAGTAATGGCTTGAAATGTCAGCCGAAATCTTGTATCAAGCCCTGGCACGTTTAAGGCTTCGGGTTTTAGGGTTTAGGGGTTTGGAGTTTCGGGTTTCGGTGTTAGGGTTTAGGGTTTAAGGTTGCACAGCATCCAATAAGATTAGACAGCGTCCAATAAGGTTAGATAGGGGCCGTAATGGGTAGAATAGGGATCCTTTGCAAGTTTCAGTTCAGGCTTATGTAAAGGCCACTAATAACAAGGACTCATGATAAAAGGCCTTAGAGCAAGTCTGAAACTTTGAGCCGTATGCGTGCAAAAGGCGCCAAAGGGAGGAAAGGGCTCCAGATGAGGACGGTCTGTGGCTTTTGTGGCTTTTAGCTGAGAGCGGAAAAAATGTTAAGCCTTTAGTGCTTCTCACAGGGCTGATAAGGGCGGTTCTACGGTAAAGGAGTTGCAGGATTTAGAGTTGATATCGGACTTGAAGGTTCGGGGCTTCTGTCTTTTTGAGGGCTAAAGATTTAGGATTTTGGGTTTTTGAGTCCAGGTCCTCAAAATAGCCCGAAGGCCTCATACAGTCCTGTCCCTCAGCTACCTGGACCCGATGAAACCTATTTTCCTTATGTACGTCCCGAAAAACGTAGGTTATTTGGGGTCAGGGTATTAGCAGAAAGTTCTACAACCTAGAGTCTAGATAGAGCCGTAGAGCCTGTGAGTAGGATTGCGGTGTTTCGCATGGGCTTCTTTCCGAGGCTCTCCAACTCTCTTGACATCGGCGTGGAGAACAGGCGAGCCGTCGCAAGACTCCGTGGAGGATATGCTATGATATGTCTTCAAGGTCTGCTCGAGGATAGGATCTAGGGCTACTTGGCGATACGGCTCGCGGTTCAGGGAGTCCTGCAACACACGCCAGCCCCTTTCGATCCTCCAGTTGGCGCGTCTCCACTGAGCTCGCCGGCGACACCTTGTGCCTCCAGTCGCATTCATGTTCAGTGCTTCTTGTTTACACGTCTTGTGCGCGTATAAAGTCCGTGCATTTATGTATGTATGTATATATAGATATGTGTATATACATACATGTATGTATGTAGATAACAAATACGACACATCGGTTCATAGTCGCACTCGTTAGCTACCTGTATATGTAACTGATTGAAAGAACATACGGGCATATGGTATAGAAAAACGACTACCCTGTTTACGTGTCTCTTGCAAATCCACTGTTGACCATTGTAGCACCCATCAGAAACCTTTGTAGAAGCCATATACAACCACGTTAGGGGAGACGGCCCTCAAAAGTGTAAACCCTAACCCTAAATCCTAAATGCCGACATTCTCCAAACCCTAGCCCTATGCCTTAGACCTTATAAACCTTATAAGCCCTAAACCCTTGAACCCATAATCCCCTATGAAAACCCTCTTATGAAACTCTTGCGGGCGCTCTGCCTAAATCCGGACGATGCTGCTGAGGCACTTGGCCGAGAGCGTTCCGAACTTTGATCTGACTCCGATGCCGGACTGGGCGGGGTTTACGGGTACACAAAACCCTGAACCCTAAACCCCTTATATATCAGGGTTCATAAGTTTTTTGGTAAGAGGTTTACACGGTGAAGCTTTAGGGCTGCGGTTCGAAGGTGTCTACATGTTTAGAGCTTGTGTTCGGGACCAGGGTTTCAGACGGAGAGAAGAGTTCCGACAGCATGCAGTGGGTTTGGGAGCAGGCTGTAGATTGGTTGTGGTCTCAAAACCCTAGGCCAGCAAACCCTCCAAGCTTGAGGCACAGCAATAGATCTAGGCTTTTGGGTTCACGCTGGATGGTGAATCTGGTCTCACCTGCTGCTGGCAGTTACCCTGGCCCTCATCTGCCTACCTATGCCTAGACTACCTATTCCGCTGTGGTAATTGTTATAAGTACGGGAACAGGGGCTAAACGGGCACCCCGATGAGCCCTATAAACGCTATAATAGGCTCCCTCGACCCTACGCCCTGATCCCTGCGGAACCGCTCGGAGCAAGGCCCCTTTGGCCCTTTTGCAGCACAGGACATCGGCCTGTACTCCACGGACGTGCGCGAGGGCTTCGTGCAGAGCTTCGGCTGAAGGGTCCGAGGTTTAGGGTTTAGGGCCTGCAGGGTCTGGGGTCTGAGGGTTTGGGGCATTTTGGGGCCTTTAAGGTTTAGGGTCTTGGTTTTATGGTTCAGGGTTTAATCTGGGTTTGGCGTTTATGAGTTTGTTTCGGTTCAGGGGGTTCAGAGAACAGGGGTGGCTTGCAGAGGTGTCCTTATAGACAGGATCTCACTAGTTGCAGCTGTATTTCGGTTCCCTCTTGGCTTTTCTCAAACTCCGAGGTGCGTATACTTACTCGGCTTTGCCTCCCCCTAGTTGTCTTTGCATCGCTTGGTTTCGTCTTTGCTTTGTGCTACTCTAGTGAAGTCTGTCTTGCGTCACTTCACATTGCCTACGTGGCTAAAGCAGTGCATAGCTGCAATTGACGAATGAACTACTGAAACATAAGGGTAAATAGATACAGAAATAGAAGCACACACATGCGTAGATATTGGTGCGTGTTTGTGTGTATTTACTGCTACATACATATGTGTCATTTTCGATGTTATACATATACACACGCTCATACACTTAAACAGACATGTCTTCCTTTTCGATGTTATACATCTACACACACTCATACACTCAAACAGACATGTCTACATAGCGACTTAGCAAGATTGACAGGTTCGTAGATATGGAGACATCATATGAAGCTAGTAGTTCTTAAAGGCTTGTATCTAGTTCTTGACGATGTGGCTCTTGCACGATGTTCAAGGCCCCACATTGTTGAGACTGGCATGGTTTGAGAGAAGGACAGAGAGCCATAAAATGATTCTGGCCAGGTCATCTCTGACAGGCTTGTTGTTCCTAGCCCTTCGGCCTTGCTGGCAGAATGATTTGGTTTCGGGGCCCGCGGGAGCCCTCAACCCTGAATGTGTGGGTGGAATTTGTTCTCGAATCCCTAAAATTTAAACTTTCTAAGCCCTAAACCGTAAACCCTAGACCTTAATCTCTAGAAAGCCATGGAGGTTGGTGCTGATTCAGTTCCGACTTACAACGCCTCCTGGTCGCAAGCAGCTGTTCGCAGCAGGGCCTACATTGAGTGCTGTGAGGCCCTGCCTGTTGGGGCGCTCCTTCTTTCTCTTACTAGCCAACATTCGTTATGGAAGCCTCGAAAGGAAAGCCCGATTCTCTTTGTTAAGGCCCCACGATAGGACCCTTAAGAGGATCCCCTATTCGATAATTATTAAGGCCCCTAGAGTGCCCTTAAACGGAACCCTTAAAGGAGCCCCTACTCTGATTATTAAGGCCCCTGTAGTAGTGCTTCATCGCTTGCCGACCTCCTTCTTGGGACATTTCGGAGAGCTCTCGGAAGCAATCCGATACTAAAATGGGTCTAGGTTTTTTTTCGGGTTTAGGGTTTAGAGGTTTAGGGTTGAGGGTTCAGCTGGCAAGGTAGGGGCTTTAGATGGTTCTAAACGGGATACTGTCAGGATTCTATACGGGTTTGTGGTTGAAAACAGGTTATCATCAGGGCGTTCCATAAGGATGTGTATACGAGTTCTGTGAGATGTAGGGGCGTGAATATTTACCGACATCTATTCCATACTTCTTCATTGCTGCTAGAACTGTATCATGGTATAGGCCCAAACCTATCCTAATTATTCAGGCCCCTGCGTTGGGGTCTTCGGTTGCTCGAGGTGACGTTTCGAGTTCTGAGGTCAAGGGTGGAAAGGTCATTGGTTCTTAACCATTAAGCCTTCAACACGAGACCCCAAGCCGTAGACCCTTCAGATCAGAAGTATCCGATAAAAACCCGAAGCCCACCCACACCAATCTTATCAGACCGGCAAGGTTCCCTGACACCCTCAGCCTTACATCCTCAACCCAATGCCTCGAACCCTAAAGACCCTACAAGCCCTTTGACACGCCTTCTAAGCCGGACTCTCAAGATCCTAAGCCCTCAACCTCAACCCCTTAAGCCCTTACCCTAAAACCTAAGCTTTCTTTCCAAGGTACGTCCCAGGCCGGCCGAAGGAGCCCCTATAAAGACCTGTCAATCCTACACACGATCACTAAACCTTAACCCCCAACCTAGGCCCTCCCTATGGACCCTACACCCCCAAACAGCCCTAGACCCAGATCCCCTACACCCTAAACCCTAAACCCCGATAATATTCCAAACCCTGAACCCTGAACGCACACCCTAAACCCCAAAATCCTCAAGCCCTAGACGCCCTAGACCCTAAACTCAAGTCCCCTACAGCCTAAGCTCTACTTCCGAGGCACGTCCTCGGCCTGGCCAATATCCAGGTCCGGGGTCCCTTGGAGTTTGCACTGAGCTGCAGCGCCCCGGCGACAGGTTTGTGGGGGCTTAGAAGGGTTATTAGGGTTTGGGGTTTAGGGTATACCGGTTCCATAAGGCATGCTATAAGGGTTGTATAGGCATACTATGACGGTTCTCTAAGGAATACTATGAGGGTTCTAGAGCGCCTACTATAAGCCTTATAAGCGTTCTATAAGGAATACTATAAGGCTCTATAAGGCATACTATCAGGGTTCCAGACGGCTTTGGTGTTCTGGGTTTAGCGTTTAGGATTTCAGGGTTGGGGGTCTCAAGGCTTCAGAGCTTCGGGGGTTTAGGGGCTTGGGGCTCCAGGTACCTGGTGAGTGTGTTGCTGACCTACATTATGGTGTAGGGTTTAGGGCTTATACTGCTGTCCTAAATCCAAACGCCCACCAAACCCTAACGCTTGAGCCAACTGGACACTCGCGAGACCCGAAATCCTCTGTAAGCTTTAAGTGCAAACCAGGCCCCCCAAAAGGGTCCTGTTATCTCCTTGGGAGGGTCCGGAACCTCCTAATTAAGCAGGGCCTTCTTTGGGAGTCTCAGAAGTCCTTGCTCTGAGGGTCTCAAAAGGATCAGGACCCTGAACTTAGGGCTTAGGGCCAACCCGAGGCCTCAACAGAAAGACCTCAACCCTCAGCACCAAAATCTGAACCCCAAAGCCTCTCAAGTCAAAGCCCCCAAAATCCCAGGCCCTGACACCTGAAACCCCTGAACCCTTCACCGTGGATCCTACATCCGAAAACCCTAGTCCTCAAGCCTTAGAAATCCCAAAGCAAGGTGAGAAGGGAATCCCGGCACCCCGCGGGCTCTTGCCGGCAGACTCGGAGTGCTTCCTGATCGGCCCGACCTTGCCTCGTGGCCTTGGGGAAAGTGGGGTTCCTTTGAAGGCTACCTGAAGGGGCTGCTTTAAGCGCTCCTTTAAAGGGTACTATAAGGGCTCGCTCCTCTTCAAGGTACTATAAGGTTCCAAAAAAGGCTACCATGAGGGTTCCTTTCGGGTGCTATAGCGTGACTATAGTTCAGGGCTCAGGGCTTAGCGTTTAAAACATGTCTAAAACCTGCTATGGTCTTCTCAATCCACAGCTTAAGACACCCAATACATGAGCCCCCAAGTTTCCACGGAATTAGGCATGTTTTTGAACCTTTATAGTAGCTTTTAGTAGTTCGCTCAACAGCAAGCTTAACGCAACACCCTCGACAGGAACCCAAAAAGGAACCGACAACTCCACAAAAAGGAACCTGTAATTTCCCTTAAAGGAACGATGTAGGCTTTAGGGGTGTGGGCCAGTTGTGGGTGTAGGCCACCTTTAAAGTTGCTAAAGGAGCCCAAATGGGAGTTTCCCAAAATAAGGGGTACCTTATTTTGGGGTCCTTATAATAGGGATCCTATTATTTAGGGTACTATATTAGGGTCCCCAATTTTCGGAAACAACACCGAAGGCAGATGACTCTCCCGGATCCTCTGCCTTACGCGCCTCGGGTTCGTTTAGTTATTCCCGTAAGAGTCCCTTTCAGGGTCCCTTTGAAGGTTTTTGTAAGTGGCATGTTGGGAAGCTGGATAGTTTCCCTTATGGTACTAAATACTGCTGGGGGTCCGCAAATGGCCAAACTACAGCCCAGCCTCGGGCTTGGGATTCATGTTGAGTTTTGAGACCGGCAAGAGCACGTTTTAGAGTTTTGGAGTTCACGCTCTATGGGGTTTTAGGGTTAGTGTTGATAGTGCTGAGGGTTTTGGCAGATCATCAAGACCGGAGGTCAGAGTCGAATGCGCGTGGCAGCAGTGTGAGAACGGTGGGTTGGGGTTGTGGGAGTGGGGCTTTCGAGTGCACGTTGAACTGGTAGCCAACATGGACATCCTAATCCTTACAGGCTCAATCCTAAAACCTAAACCCCCAAAGCCTAAACCCTAAACCCTAATCCCAAAATGAAATCTCTACCCTAAACTCTAAATAGCCATATTTCCATGTTGGCTCCTGTGCAAACCCCAGCGATCCCAAGGCGCCCTATCAACTCCAGCTCCAAGCAGGTGAGGCCAGGTGGAGCTGAAACGCATTAGTTCAGCTTTTAGGGTTCATATTTCAGTTTAGTCTTTCAAGGAGGTTTAGGATTTCAGCTTTTAGGGTTTGGGTTTAGTCTTTCAAGGAGGTTTAGGATCCTGAGCCCAAAACTTATCCAACCCAATACCCGAAGCCCAGCAGAGACCGAACCTGCCTAAATTCGGGTGTCTTGGGACTTTGTACACGACAGCTTCAGCGCTGGCTACCGTAATGCGACCTATAGTATACGCCTGGTGAAACACGGAATCCCAAACTAAACTCGAGAGCCTCTTTTGCTGCGGGACGTTGGCATTTCGGCTTTCGCCTCACGTTTCGAGCTTTCCGACAGAGTGAAACTGCACAGTCAGTATACGTCGAACTTATGTTTTCCTGGGCTGCATCCGAAACCCTTGTGCTGCGTTGTCTGTTGTTCGGCACTGAATCTTAACGTGGTAGGTGATGCGGAAGGCCGCGTGCGTAAGGTCCACGCAAGCGCGGCCCAAGGGAAGCGTGTGGTCTAAAGTTAAGGACGTCTTGGAGCTTAAGGCGTAGCCATTTTGCATAATCGTCCCCGCTCGCAAGGACGCGCAAACGGCTGTCCAAGGGCCACAACTAAGACAAAGAAGTACTGGACAGCCCATATGTGTAATGTATAAACAATTAAATACATAAATAAGTAGTTAGATAAACCAGTAATGAACGCTTACACATATACACATATACATATATACAT